AGCAATTGCACTACTGGGTATTTACCCCAAAGATACAAATGTAGAGATCCGAAGGGGTACGTGCACCCCGATGTTTATAGCAGCAATGTCCACAACAGCCAAACTGTGGAAAGAGCCAAGATGTCCATCGACAGATGAATGGATAAAGACGATGTGGTATATATACACAATGGAATATTATGCAGCCATCAAAAGGAATGAGATCTTGCCTTTTGCAACGATGTCGATGGAACTGGAGGGTGTTATGCTGAGTGAAATAAGTCAGTCAGAGAAAGACATGTATCATATGACCTCACTGATATGAGGAATTCTTAATCTCAGGAAACAAACGGAGGGTTGCTGGAGTGGTGGGGGGTGGGAGGGAGGGGGTGGCTGGGTGACAGACATTGGGGAGGGTATGTGCTATGGTGAGCGCTGTGAATTGTACAAGACTGTTGAATCACAGATCTGTACTTCTGAAACAAATAATGCAATATATGTTAAGAAAAAAAAAAAGAAGAAGAAGATCACAGGAGGGGAAGAATGAAGGGGGGGAAATCGGAGGGGGAGACCAACCATGAGAGACGATGGACTCTGAAAAACAAGCTGAGAGTTCTAGAGGGGAGGGGGGTGGAGGGATGGGTTAGCCTGGTGATGGGTATTAAAGAGGGCACATTCTGCGTGGAGCACTGGGTGTTATGCACAAACAATGAATCATGGAACACTACATCAAAAACTAATGATGTAATGTATGGTGATTAACATAATAAAAAAAATGAAAAAAAAAATCCCACCAAATCCTTCACCAAGTCTGTAGGAAGGGCTCTCTGTGTGCTCTCCTCCCCTTGGTCATCACAGTCTTCTATTTCCTTCTCCTCCCTTTATATAAACATCATCACTCCTATTTAACAACCATCTCATCATTTTCTGCACTTCCCTCTTCCATTCTTGCTTCTTTGCATCTTCCCTCCAACCTATTTCTTCTCTACACAATCAGTCCACCATAGGCCACTCTGTGACTCAGCAACCTAGCCTCACTTACTCTGTTTTTCACAGTCCTTTGCTTGTAATACAGCAGGCAACTGGGGCTCGGTCCCTCTGTGAGCCCACCAAGGAACTGTAGGGAAGGGATCACAGACCTGAACCACTAGAGATCAAGGCGGGGGCAAAGGACTTTATCCTCTCACTCCCTTTCCTCAATGATTTCTGGGCAAATGAGTGCCTATGGGTCAAACATGTTGCTATTAGGATTATGTTTATTATCTCGCCAAAACCCTATAGCTCCGTGGACTGTTGGCCCTATTTTAGAGATTAAAAATCTGAAATGCAGAAAGATTAAGCCACTTGCTGAAAATCAAACAGTTAATAAGCAGCAGAGCTGGACTCCAAATCCAGTCTTGTCTCTTCCAGCATACGATGCAATGTTGTAAAAGCCAGAGCACATCCATTCCCCAGCACTGCTGGCACTCCTCGCGGGCTTGCATGGCCAGAGAGATGCTCGCACACTTGCAGCCTCTCCTTGCAAGGAAAATGTATTAAGATAGCTGCCCAGATTGTTTTAATCTTTTTGCATGCATAGAAAAATCTTCTGGGTCATAATCCGCCAGCCATGTGAAATTTTTATAGCATCATCATCCGTGGCTACTCCCACCTCAAATACCAGTTACTATGAAATTATGCCAGAATTTGGATCAAAGTATGGGGGGAAATGCAAGGCAAATTTTTATCTGATGAACTCATGGCAGAGAATCAAATTTCATAGAGAGTTCCAGACTCTAGTATATTAAAAAACAATCTGTAACTTTACTGTGAGGAGACTACTTTATTAGAACAACTAAAACATGCTGAGCTCTGCTGGGACACAGAGGTCATGCTAATGTGTGAGCCAAGGAGAGTCTTTTCTTGCTTTTGTAGAAAAGATAATAATCTGCAAATCACTAGCATCTGAGGCTGGCTTGATTTAAAATGCACACAGATAGAGAAAAAGTTCCAGGAAATCACTGTATTTATAGCTTGCCTACATTAGTCAGTGGAAAGGCCCTTGCTGCTCCCAAAATAACACTTGGGAAGGTGCTGCATCCTAGCACCTTTGCTAAGCAAAGGCATGCATGGTTCTCATCTGCTGTTCTGTAGGGTCCCTAGGAGGACATCTCCCACTTCACAGGGAGCCAGGGAAGGAGACAGGGCCCTCCAACCTCCCCCACCTCCAGCCCAGCTGTGCAGCAGCTGGCTCAAGGAAGTCCCAGTCCCAGAAGCCCTCAGCAGGCCACCTGGAGGAGCCCTTGCCCTAGTTCCCTCCACCAACCACCTAACCATCAGTCAGATTTAGAAAGCAAGCCCCCTTAGCATTAAACCCGCCAAGACACAGCATCTTCACCACAGGGATAAGATGCAGGGGAAGATTCTGGCCAGGTGTCGATCGCCAAGGTCTTTCACAAAAGAATTGCATAACCGTCTCAGGAAATGACAGGCAATATACAAATTACATACAAATTACTTATATACAAATTACCATGATACAGAGAACAAGACTCCAGTCATGCACTCAGTGGGCTGTCTGGGGTTAAAGTATTTTAATCCTCTTGGTACAGAATTTCATAATTCTTGGTCCATACGAGTGTGGGCAAGGCTCCAGACACATGGGATATCTATCGGTTTAGAACTGCTTTCCCTCCCAAGAATACCATAGCAACTCGAAGGCCTTCCTAGGACGGGAAACGGCCAGATCTGCTTGTTCTGTGGACTCACAAAGGCCTCTGTGGCAAACACACATCCAGTGACTCCAACAGGAAAGGGAAAGACTGGGGTGCAGAGGGGCACTTCACCTGGCACACTGGGCTGGAAGACTTTATTCAGATCCAAGGAGGAGGCTCTGGAATGGGTTTTCTGTGGCCGCGGTGGCGGGGTAGGAGGGTCCTCGCCCCTTTTCATGGCCTCTTCTATGGAGGTGCTAGAGTAAGATCTGCAGCAAAATAAGGGAAGGTCAGAAGGGAGACAGCAAAGCTTTAGTCTCTGAAGTAGGGCTGAAATGGAAGTACCCACAAAAGTCAAAGTCACTACAAAGGACTGACCAGGGCCCATCTCAAAGCAACCACAAATTCAACTGTCCCTTGGGTGCCACTACCTGCAATAACTGTCCAAACCCAAACCATGAATCAGAACCTTTTTTAACCTCTCTGTTCATATTGTATCTTAGACCTAAACTTACACAAAGGAAAAGCTAGAAAGTAAATTCAAATCCGTTTCTATGGGTATTGTTAATAAGAATAACACGTAAGCCTTCTGCTCAGGCACTTCCATATTGTAACAGAAGGGCTTCATGGTCTTAACAGACTGCAGCACTTTTCTCCTGTTTACATGTGAACACGATGACAGGCACATATGGAAGTGGGGCAGATAACCTGAGAGTAAGAATCAGAGGCTCAAGGGAATACGCCACAAATGAAATTCAGGAAAGGGAAACACACATCTATCAGATGGAGGGGTCTAGGCTGTCTTACCATGAGAAATACCAGTTTGGGGAAATTTTCAAAGCAAAAGCTTCCTCTTAACCTTGTCCCTCAATCTGTAACAAGGCAGTAGCTAACTAGACAACTTCTGAGATTGTAACTCTAATAATTACATTCAAAGAAACAGAAAATTACCTGCCAAAAGTAACATAGCTAGAAAGTTACATTGGTTCAATTCAAACTCCAATCTGTTTCTAAATTCCATTTTTAAAATATTCTGATACTGCCTATGAGCCAGGAAAGAACTCTTTTGGCAGTAGTGGCTAAACTATTTATTAGAGACTTAATTATTTTCTAAATTAATTCAACTCAGTACATTATCGCTTAGAAACAGGTTTATGAATGAGTTCCCAATATGATTTTCTAAGAAGTGGATCTGTACATCCGTTCTACTCAGCCTCTCAGCTACGCTCATGTCAAAGAACAAAATGACCTTTGAGTCGGAGATGTGTTCTAGAGACAAATTAACATCAGAAAACTATTATTAGTATTTAGCTATTAGAGTGCCATTTATGAAATCAGAATCTATTGATTACTATTCAGCAACTTCAGTTCTTGGTAAAGCTGGTTGTGACATAGCAAGTTTTTACTTTCCCGAATCATTCCTTCAAGGTTTCTTTGTGGTAGCTGAAGAGTTTTGCTTGTCATGCAAGGTTGCAATCTTTCATAAAGCTGCCATAATGGCATGGAATGTGCTCCGGGGTGGTCCCTGTAAAACAACTGGCAAGACAGGCAAGGCAAAGGCATGCAGGAACTGGCAGGAATAATGGTCTGATACCTTCAATCAGAGTGAAAAGAAATTGATAGGAAAGGACAACAAAGTTTTCAAATGGGAACTCTTGATTTAAAAAGGAAACCAGAGACTCTAGCTAGAAATTAAAAGAACTTTTTATGCCAGAAAGAGCTTTAGTGACAGTTTTCAGTCAAGAAAGAAAATATGGTGTGTGTGTGTGTGTGTGTGTGTGTGTGTGTGTATCGACACACATACAATTAGGCATACCATCCCATACCACATATCTCGTTCCATTCCCATATATAACCTGTGTACTGGTATTTTCATATGGAAAGCTAACTGAATATTAAACAAGTGATACTGTAAAATTGTGACTACAACAATTTAAATACAAATGTGCAGGGAATCAACAAAATAATGAATATAAGTGGTGTTAGAACAGTGATTTTCCCTCTCCCTCACATTTCTACAAAGTTTTATTATTCTAAAAAGGAAGATAAAGGATACTCTGATTCTCTCAGTCTCAGTAAAGACCCAGCTGGGGGGTAGTGAAAATAAAAACATCCAAATTAGACCAGGAGACCAATCCCTAAAAGAATAATATATAAAAGTTGGGGGGTGCCCAGGCGGCTCAGTCATTAAGCATCTGCCTTCGGCTCAGGTCATGATCCCAGGGTCCTAGGATCGAGCCCCGCAGCGGGCTCCCTCCTCAGTGGGGAGCCTGCTTCTCCCTCTCCTACTCCCCCTGCTTGTGTTCCCTCTCTCGCTCTCTCTCTGTCAAATAAACAAATAAAATCTTAAAAAAAAAAAAAGTTGGGGGCGCCTGGGTGGCTCAGTTGGTTGGGCGACTGCTCGGGTCATGGTCCTGGAGTCCCGGGATCGAGTCTCGCATCGGGCTTCCCGCTCAGCGGGGAGTCTGCTTCTCCCTCTGACCCTCTTCCCTCTCGTGTTCTCTCTCTCAAATAAATAAAATCTTTAAAAAAAAAAAAAAAAAAAAAAGTTGGCCAGAGATATTAATAATAGAACAGGTAACCATGAAATTTTGTACTTTCATTCACTTGGAGAAAGAGAGGAAGTCAACAGAAGAAAACTGTGAGGTTTAATTTACAGTTAACACAGCACACATAAACAGATTTCTGGAATTCAAAGGTTTTTCATACTATGAGGGCAGATAAATGTTACTATTTCTACATCCTAAAGCCAGTACTTTAAGCCAGTACAGTAAAAGATCCATTCATCCTTAAAAAAAAAAAAAAAAGATGAGTAAATGTGGTAGCCACAGACAGAAATAGTGACTATACCTTTTTTCCTGCCAAAAAGATTACTGTACCTATTGTTTCAAAAAATGTGAATATAGATACCTGTATCTTCTATAAACAAGGAAACAAAACCCCAATTTAGAAACTCCAGACATAAAAGATAAACTAAGGGGTAACTCTCAGATTTACAAAAAGACGAGGTTTCCTCAATTATCAATATTTCAAGCATATAAAATATGATCAGATTTAAATTCACTTTTTCAGGAATGTGTCTCAGTAGCCAAAGGAAGAAAAAAGTCACTAAGAGCCAAAGCAAACACGTATGTACTGTCCTGTCTTACACTGCTGTCTACCACTGAAGAGTGGTCCCAACACCATTTCCCCTCTCTGATGTTCTATTAATGTTTCCGTATTTCTCCTCAATCCTCCACTCTGATGTCTGATGTCAACTGCAGCTCTGCCTTACTCGCTCTCCCTCTTCTACTAGCTTCTACTGATCTAAAAACCGTGAAGTTTGGGGCGCCTGGGTGGCTCAGTCATTAAGCATCTGCCTTTGGCTCAGGTCATGATCTTGGGGTCCTGGGATCGAGCCCCACATCGGGCTCCCTGCTCGGTGGGAAGCCTGCTTCTCCCTCTCCCACTCCCCCTGCTTGTGTTCTTTCTCTCGCTGTCTCTCTGTCAAATAACAAAATCTATTAAAAAAAAAACAACAACAACAAACAAACCGTGAAGCCAAAAAGCAGCTCTAAGACAGGATAAAACAGGCCATAAGCACTGCTTACCTAAAGCCTCAAGCCTCATTAAAATCACTGTGAGTGTTTTCTTTTCCTACTCTAGATTTCATCCCTCAGGCATCTTACTTTTTGGTGTCCACCTTGTCATGATAGTAAATTTCAGTGTTACCTTTGAACCACATTTCCTTCTCTCCAAAACTACTGCCCTCTACTCCTTATCATCTTGCAACAACTGGGCCATATCCACACAAACCACTTCTTGTCAGGCGACCAGCCAGAAGCAGCCACCGTCTTCCAGCGCTAATAAACACAGAAACTGAGAGTCTCCCAGCCGCACTGCATGCTCCAAGCAGGCCCTTCATGACAAGTGAATTCACCCCTATTCTAAGCTTCAAATCTGAAGGAAAAGGAAATTGTGGGTTAGGCTTCAGGTTGTGGGATTTTATTTCTAGTCAGGGACAGGACAGAAGGGGCATTAAAGCAGAAATTAAACAAACACTACCTGGATCTTGGTCTTGCTTTGAGACTGTTGGAATCCTTAGAAGTGGCTGAAACAAAGATTAGTTGTTGTTTACTTGGCTTTCATTTTTGCAGTTGAACAGGTTTATAAGCAATACCTGGGCTAGTACAGAACAAACATTATCAACAGGTAAATGTGAGGTACAGGTGTCCCTGTGGAGAACTTGACCGCCTCCACATTTTCATTATTTTGTAATTTTATTTCTAAAGCTAAAGGCACAATTTAAAGGAAGGAAAAACCAATATTTTTTTCCTTTTGTTAGAGTACTAAGGAGCTATTTTCAAATCTACATTGACGAATAAAGAAATTCCAGTCTAAAAAGACAACCCTCTCAAGGGGTTATCTACTTGTATAATAGTGGGTTCAGACCTGTGGTTTTCTTGGTCTATCATGATAGCCTAGTAATTGATTCTGAACCAGCTTCCCCTGAAGGCTAGGAAGAAATCTATCAGGTTACATATTTCAAGATTTTCTTAAAATACACTACCAGAGCAGCATGACCACAAGAAATCAAAGCTCCCACAAGTTGAAATAAGCTACACAGATTTTCCTATAAGAAAATATTCTTGTGTCCTATGTCTCTGTGACCAAATCATACAGAGGATATTACGGAGTGAAATCATTAAAATATTTTATCAACCGTAAGACTTTTCCTTATCAAATGTAAATCATGAACTAACTTGCTCAGTATCGACACCCATGAAGCCTACTTTCCCATCACAGGTTCCTGGGAGTAATTAGAAACATTTACAAAAAGATTAATCCTTTTTTATGTTTTCAATACCCTACAGAAGACAACTTTAGAAACCATTAGTTATGCTAAGGTTTTGCAAACACTGCAAATTTTTCATCATAAAATGTCATAAAAATCCATAGAAAAGGTGCTACTAACTAGGAACAAGGAGAATATAGTTTGTATACTGCTTGCACAAATTCTTCCAAACATTTTCTTACGTCTCAGTGAATTATCCCACCCTTTTTTACATTGCTCCTAAAGATAAAAACCCTCCTTGGGATGAAGCAGCCTGGATCGATGAGGGTCATTAAAATCCATGGGTTAGATAAGCAGGAGAGGAAAGGGGGAGCTAAAAATGCTAACAAGGCACAAAGCAAACTAGCACTATATTCCCTTAGATATGGTCAGCTGCCGAAAAGATGCATTTACCCCAAAATAAGCATTCTGGTTTGGTGTACTGAGAACACAGGCATCTTTCAACTTCAATCCATCAAAATGCTGCCAGAGCCCTGAAAAGAATGGGAGGCCTGAGGAGTTTGAGCCCTGTCCTGCCCATTCTCATGCACCTACATCTGCAGGGATATGTGGCTACCCCGCCACCCCTGACCCCACAAATTCTAGGCAGCGAAGGAAAGGGGCCTAAGGGGAGCCCATCCTGCAGGCAAGCAGGTTGCCATGGGGCTGAGTGAACAGTGTGACCAGACTCACCACAAAGCTGGGGGCCACCCTCTGGGCAGGCTGCCCACAGCTGACTCTGAACCCCTCTTCTCCCTCAGGCCACACTGCTTTCCAGAAATATGTGGGTCGGGAAAGTCTCGGCCACATTAAAATAAAAGTCTGGTTCCCCAAACCAGAGCACGGGGGTGACCGTTAATTCCTTTGTCAACTGCCATTATCTCTTTTTGCTGGGGTGAGAATGGGTGTGGAAGGAGTGGTAAACCCTGGAGGTGAGAGATACGACATACAGACAGATGGGGTGTGGGGGTATGGATAAGCAGTGGAGACCCAGACAGGAGTCCTGAGGCCTACATGTCCCTCCTGGCCACAACCGTAACTATTATGTTTCTGAGCCTCCGTTTCCTCATCTACAGAATGAAGATAATAAAAATGTGACCCCTTTCTCACGGGGAGAGGGAAGATGAAAGTACTTTGAAAACTAACTGTATTTTAGAATTGCAAAATAATACTGTTGGAGAGTGCTCCGAATTTTTCAAGCTTAGAAACCTGGATTCTAAATTTAGTTCCCATTAGGACAGCAAAGGAGGTACAGGTGGGAGCAGGTAATGGAAGCAGAAAACTGTTCTACCCTGTAAGACCCTGGGGTGATAGCTGGCAATGGGGCAGCTGCTAGAATCACCAACGGTGTCTGAAGACTAGTGTGAGGGTCAACAGGCCTAATGCCCTCAGCATGACTTACAGACATCAAGAAAAAGATCACCATTGTGCAGTGTGCCCTGTTGAATTAGGCTGGAATATGATGTTAGCTAAGGAATCTATTAGACTCCACTAATATGTACACTTTCAGCAATTAAAAGGGTAAGGGCATATTAAAAAATATGTGACAAGGAATTACCCCCATTCCCTGACAACAGTCCCACCACCACATCATCTTCATCACCATTACTATTACCATTATTATCATCACTATTACCACCCATTGTGGAAGAGCAGGGCAGGGAGATATTTCTCCTGCCATCTGCAAAGATATATCCCAGGCAGATCTTGATAAGTCCCCACAGGTTTTGGATCACAAAAAGCTAGATAACACTATTCCAGTTAAGTTTCCATCAGCCTCCAAGCCCCTGAAAGTCAGACTCAGCATTTGGGGCATGTGAGTATCTGCAAAAACGGCCAGGGCATGTTGTATTGGAATCCAGGCAGAAGCCAGTGGGGAGATCACAGCTTCTCATTTAGCTGGGAAGAGGGAAGAAGAATGACAACTTCCTAGAACATCCCGGGCATGTCATCTTTGCAGCAAACTGAAATAGGATAAAAAGGCAAGCCTGAAGTTTAATCCTCTAAAAGGCAGCACTCAACTGAGGTGAAATGTCCTTGTGGCATGGACAGACATTCAGAGTTAGAAACCACCACGTTGAAACTCTACAGTGTCTCGCACGAGAAATCCAAACATGCCCCAAGAAAGGGGGTATTAAATAGGTTTTCAGATAACAGATTCCCTCATATCCACTCCAGAAAGGGGCAGCAGTAGGAAAAATAAATCAGAAGCCACAGAGCATGTTCCCAGGCAGAATGAAACAAATGCAGATGTGCTTTGCACACCGTAGCACACCCTCGTAGCATTTGTCTGGCGACCCCATCCCCCTGTCAGTGAAGGAATCTTAAAAATGAAGCTCATGCTCCAGAGAACACATGATGCTCATGGAAAAAACAGCAAGTTATTAGCCTAAAAGGCTGCTGGAAAAGCACCAATTTAACTCTCCAAGTTCAACTAGCTTTTATTAACATCATTAACATGAAGTTTACAAAAACGGAGGTGCATCCACTTTAGCTCCAGAAATTAGAGGTGGAAAGAACTTACCTCAGGCATTTGTTCTGCCATGGAATAAGAGGGCAAGCCTAAAGTCTAATTCTCTAACAAGCCAGCAATCCATTTGTCTTTTCATAAACTGAGCATTTCTCCCTATGATGAAGGAACCCAAACTAGGCTTGAGAATTCCCACCACTTTTGGAGGCATGGTTAATCTACAGTCTCAATTTTCTAGTTCTTAACATCATCTCCTAAAGGCAGGGGTTCCCCAAATAGGCCACACATCAGAATCACCTGGGGTGCTGCCTAAACACACAGACTCTTCAACCTCATCACCGAAATCAATCATACATTCTCATTCATATTCATGCTCTCTCTCTCTCTCCCCTCCTCCTTCTATCTTCCCCCGCCCCTCTCTCTCTTTTAAACCTTGAATGAACTTAGTGTTTGGGAAATACTGTACTATAGCATAAGACTCAATGTTATACTGATTCCTTTGTTCCAACTTTAAACAAATAAGCCCGGGATGATAGCTAGCTAACCAAAACAAACATGATTCACTTATTAAATATTATGAAAGATAACAATGAGGGAATGCAGCAACCTCTTTCACATCCTCACAACTGGAGATCCAAAGAGTAATGCCCTCCCTAGCCAGTTTGTTTTCAGCTAGGTTCAGCTTGGTTCAGTGATGGCTCCCATCAAGAGAGCTGAGGACACAGGCCTGGCCCTCTCCACAGTTCACAGACAGTTCCAACTCTCCAAGAACATGGACAAACACAACTTTTCTTTTTCTCCTTGGAACCCACTCCATGTATAAGCACATTTACTTGCCTTCCTGGTGGTGAAGTTTAATGAAAACATTTGAGATTTTTGCTCTGGAAATGGAAAAGTTCAACTATGGGCCTCCAGTTGATCTACCCATGGGCCTCCAGTTGATCTACCCATCAGCTCCTTACTCTACACAGAAACCACAATGGCTTACTGAAATCTCAACTCCAAGCCTTCCCAATTTCATAGTAAAAGTAACAATGAGACTCTAACTTCAAACTGCGTGATCCTATCAGTGAAACCTAAATTCAGAACTTAAAAATAAAAAACACCCTCTTCTCAAACCCGAAAAGAGGGAAGCGGTAAAAAGCAACCAAAAGATTTCCTTAGAATAAAACAAAAGGCGCCCAGCGTGAGGCCCGGAAAACACCCCAGTCCATCGTGAGCTAGGGTTACCGTGGAAAAGAAGCCACTGTACCCCACAGCCACGTGGGGTGGGTGTGGGGCGGGGTTCGTTGGTCCAGGAGAAGGACACTATAGACCCCCGAGGGCCAGCCCCCCAGCCTTTCCAGCGGCCTGAGAAACCTGGTCGTGTCCGCTGTCAGAAGACCAGGCGGGAGTGCAATGAGGCCCTGATGGGCAGCCGCCGGCCACTGACCCGTCAGGATCCTCCTGTGACCAGTCAGGATCCCTCTGTGGCCCCTACTACTCCCAAGCTTGTGGTCATAACCCAGGGCCGGCTGAGCTGGGAGCACTGGGGTCTCTTTAACCATGAGGTGAAATCTCTTGATGTGGCACAGCTGCTAGGCTATGAGTCCCTGGAGCCAGGCACCCCTTCACTCCCCACCAAACCCTCCCCGAGCCCAAGGTGGGCCCAAGAACAGGCCCCGCAGTCAAGAGGCAAGGAGAACCAGGTGCCCAGAGGCTCTGGCCCAGGCCCACCCAAGCCCCCAGAGCTCCCTGGCTTGGGGCAGCTGCTGGAGGAGCTGCAGTGCCAGCTGATTCTGCCACAGGCCTTCCCCAGGAGGAACCTAGTGCAAGAAGCCAGGGATGCCACTGTGGGCACCTTACAGGCCTGCCATGGCTGTGTGCCCGACCTCACCGTGGTGCTCCGTGGCTGCCAGCCACCCTTACCAGGGACCAAGCCTGGGGGCCCTGAAAGCCAAAGGATGAACCCTCCTGGATCAACAGCCCTGAGCCGGCCCCAGGGGAGGAGAGGCAGAGGAGGCAACAGAGGACAAAGAAGCTCACCTTTGCCATGCCTCACACCTGCAGCACTCCCATGGTGCACAGGGTGAACCTGGCACTGCCAAAAGGTCCCTGGCCACCCCCCTTGCCCTTGTTGCCTTCGCCATCCGGGGCAGCCTGGAGCCCCTCAACAGCCTTTGACCTTCTGAAAAGCATCTGGCTGGTAGCCACACCGCCCCCTCTACAGCCCTGGGGGGTCGGGCCCCAACAGCCCATGCCTCAGCCACCATCACCCTTGTTGCCTGGAACCTCTGCCCTGGAGCCCCAGCCCCCCTGCCCCACTGCCCAGCCTCTCCTAGGTGGTGGCCCAGAGCAGCCCACAGGCCTGGTCCTTTCCACCCATGGGACTGTACTGAGGGGGCTGAGCCTGGGCTGGGGGCACTCCTAATCACCTCAATAAAGTACCTTCTACATGGTCAAAAAAAAAAAAAAGAATAAAACACAAGGCAAATATTTAGAGAGAAACTTATACTACCACCAATTTTCTACTCACTGAAACTACTGGGTTCTACTGGGTTCTTTAAATTAGAAATGACATAAAAATATATTAAAATGGTTTTCTCCTACCTGGATCCTCAGACATATCCTTTGGTAAGGCTTCATCCGCAGTACTTTTCAAAGCTAGACGTATTTTGTTTTGTTCTAGACGTGCTTTGTTTTGTTCTTAACAAGAGAAAGAAAGGAGGGAAAAAAACGGTAAAATTTTATGTCTGAGGCACATTACATTAAAACAAAGAATCCCTAGTCGTCACTGATGAAAATGGTGTTACAAACCTCTATAGGTTGGTACAGCACTTAGTAAAACAATAAAGACCCCCTAAAGTATGGAAATAGGTTCTCATCCCACAAGGAACAAAGCAGTATTTCCAACTTTCAACAGAGCACCTCTAGTGGCTATGAGGAGTATTACCAGAAAATATGAGAAATTTCCCCCTTTCATTCCTGACACCCAGACCAAGGACATCAGAATCTCTCTGGGAGTGAGATGCAGCCTTCAGTATTTTTAGACCTCACCCGGTTATTCCAATGTGCAATCAAGGCTTTAGACCCACTAGTAAAGACAGTGATCAGAGTACACACTGCTGCAAAAAATGTCTAGTTCTGCCTGCCTCTCCTGAGCAAATATTTAAAGAGAGCAAGCAATTATTTCCTAATGGAAAACTTATTTTTCATGTTTAATTCCCATACAAAGCAGCAACAATGGCAGATCTTGACAATAAAACCTGAAATACCTTCACTGATTTTTAGTCCCTTCAGATAAGCCTCTCATTCATGGGTAGTAAATCAGTATCAAATAATAAAAAGAATACTGGCTTGAGACTTAGAAAATCTTTGTTCTTATCTCCATTCTTTTTATTATTAAACAAGTGATTCACACTGCCTGCACTTCGGTTTACTCATCTCTGCATTTTAGGTGATAAAACATACCAGCCTCCATTCAGTTTTGTGAGAACTGAGTAAGACAATGAATGAGGAAAGACCTGGTAGATTATAAAGAATTATATGGAGTGGTGTTGGTGGGGGGGGGGGCAGAGGGGTAGACATCCAACTGTTCTTCTAAATATTCCTAGGCCAACTCATCTCTGTGCTTCATGGTAGCTCTAACATAGAAAACTGTGCTGTACTGCTTCTCACTTGCCCAGTAAGACAGACAAATGGTTGCTGGCTCCACAACACAGCCTCGCATCCACAAAGTCACAAGATAAATCCCAGGGACAGAAACTCTCTCCAGAAGATAACTTCCTCAAGGATTAGACCTGTGCACAAATATGCATTTATACTGATGTTCTGGGATCACATCTGCCAACCCAAGATGTTAAGCTCTCAATTCTTCCAGCTTCCAGTCATTTCCTAATTAGTGCAACCAAATCCCAATGTAAAGTGTCAGAGTAGTCTGAGGGTCAGCAGTAAGGGCCCAATGAGTTAGGGGGCTTTGGAAGCTCCTGTTACCATTTCAGAAACTACAGTTTTCTGACAACTATTTGAACTACTTAATCCATCCAAATGTGTTCATATACTGAACACTGTCCTCATATGCTCCAGAAGCCAGCCATTCCAAGAGAAGTAGATGAAGAAACAAGGGTAGAATGTCCCTAAAGGAATAAAACTCATTCTTTTCATACCTTGTTTGTCATCACTAGTCACATCTTGGGCTGGGACAGGAAAGTCAGCCATGTCTTTAACAGATAGCTTCTTGGAAAAGAAAAGTAAATAAATTTATACAGGTTGAAGTGTAAATTAAGTTACATGTACATATGATGAAAATGCTTTAAAAACAACACAGTTTGCCAATATTCCTGTCTTCAGTAAACCCTGACATTTAACACTACTTTATTTTTTTAGATTCCGAGTGAGGTATAAGTTAACTTGTATTGAAAATTTACATATGGGGCACCTGGCTGGCTCAGTCAGTAGAGTGCGTGACTCTTGATCTCAGGGTCCTGAGTTCAAGTCCCACATTAGGTGTAAAGATTACTTTAAAAATTTAATTTTTTTAAAAAAAGAAAATTTACATGTGCAGAGGAAAAAAATGACGATTCAGATTTAGGCATATGTATAAGACTGCACATTAAATCTGAATCTGGTGTGGGATTCAGCCAGAGAACTGTGAACATTTGCCCATTCTGCCAAAAACAAACCTGCACTTTATGTACTTTCTCACAAGCAGAGAAAGGTTCTGACAAGTGGCCCCATAATGTAGATATTTGCCAAAATCTGTTATGCAGAGAGTGTTCAAATCTGATTCAAACAGCCCCTTGTCAAGGAATAAGAAAAATGAGCAGAACAAAATTTTCTCCTAACTCAATCAGGGGAAGTCTTCACTAATACTAATAATAAAGAATACCCAAATTGATCACATATTGATCAGTTAAAATTCTATTTAAGGGGCGCCTGGGTGGCTCAGTCGTTAAGCATCTGCCTTCAGCTCAGGTCATGGTCCCAGGGTCCTGGGATCAAGCCCCGCATCGGGCTCCCTGCTCCGCGGGAAGCCTGCTTCTCCTCTCCCACTCCCCCTGCTTGTGTTCCCTCTCTCGCTGTCTCTCTCTGTCAAATAAATCCTTAATAATAATAATAATAATAATAATAATAATAATAATAAAATCCTATTTAAAATCTACTTACTATAAATTTATTTCTTATGAAGTCTCAATTAATATGCATTCTAAGACCTCTGATAAAAGTATATTAATATTTACTATATATATAAATTCTGGAAAGATACATAAAAATTGAAGGGTGACTGGGTAGATGGGGGGAAGGATGGGAGGAGGACTTGTCACTATATGCCTTTTGATATTCTTTTAATTTTAAACATATTCAGAAAATCAAATAAACCTTAAAGGAAATAAGGTAAATCCTGGAGCCATCTAGTGCTCCAGAAGGTTAACTGGTTTGCCTCTCAGAATCTGAACAACCCCAGTGAGATAAGCAATACTTCTGTTTTTCAACTGTTTCAAAGATTGGAATTCAGTACTGCTTGGTGGTAACCTCATCTAGGATTTAACAATCCTCAGGCAGGTGATTCTTGGCATTACCATGAAGCCTCCAGATATAATTTCCTATTCAAAGTCTACTATCTCCAACAGAACAGAGAATATATCTTAACAGTGCCTTTCTTTCATTTGCTTCTCCCACCTGGACTATAACTAGATCCCTAGTAAAAGAAAATGATTTAGGAGTAGAAAATATAAATAAAAAGTCATCCCCAGAAAAGCACCTTTGAAAGAAATTTTTAAAACCTAAATAAATAGAAAGGCATCCCATGCTCATGGGTCAGTAGACTCAATATTGTTAAGGTGGCAATACTCCCCCAAATTCATCTACAGATCCAGTGCAATCCTTCTTCACTTTTTTACAGAATTTGAACAGCTTGTCCTAAATTTCATAAAGAAATGCAAAGGACCCAGAATAGTGAAAATATTCTTAAAAAAGAACAACAAAAAAACAAAGTTGAAGGACTCAGACTTTCCAATTTCAAACCTCACCACAAAGTTATAGTCATCAAGACAGGGTGGTACTAGCATTATGACAGACATCCAGATCAATGGAATAGAATTGAGAATCCATAAATAAGCCCTTACATTTATAGTCAACTTATTTTCAACAAAGGTGCAAGACAATTCAATGGGTGAAAATTGTCTTTTAATAAATGATTCTGAAATAACTGGATATCCATATACAAAGGAATGAAGGTGGGGGTGCCTGGGTGGCACAATCTGTTAAGCATCCAACTCTTGGTTTTGGCTCATATCATGATCTCAGGGTTGTGAGATCAAGCCCTCCATCAGGCTCCACACTCAGCACAGAGTCTGCTTAAGACACTCTCTCTCCCTCTTCCTCCCTGCCCCTCCCCCCCCCCGCTCTCTTTCTCTCTAAAATAAATAAATATATCTTTGACATAAAAAAAAAGGATGGGGGGGGCGCCTGGGTGGCTCAGTTGGTTAAGCAACTGCCTTCAGCTCAGGTCATGATCCTGGAGTCCCGGGATCGAGTCCCACATGGGGCTCCCTGCTCAGCAGGGAGTCTGCTTCTCCCTCTGACCCTCTTCCCTCTCGTGCTCTCTGTCTCTCATTCTCTCTCTCTCAAATAAATAAATAAAATCTTTAAAAAAAAAAAAAAAGGATGGGGGCGCCTGGGTGGCTCAGTCGTTAAGCATCTGCCTTTGGCTCAGGTCATGATCCCAGGGTCCTGGGATCGAGCCCCGCATCGGGCTCCCTGCTCTGCAGGAAGCCTGCTTCTCCCTCTTGCGCTCCCCCTGCTTGTGTTCCCTCTCTCACTGTCTCTCCCTCTGTCAAAAAATTTAAAAAAAAAGGATGAGGGTGGACCTCTTCCTCATGGCATACATGATAATTTACTCAAACTGGATCACAGACCTAAATATAAGATCTAAAACTATACAACTCTTAGAAGACCACATAGGAGTAAATCTTCATGATCTTCTGTTAGGCAATGGTTTCTTAGATATGACCCCAAAAGCACAAGCAACAAAAGAAGAAAAGAGACATGGACCTTGTTAAAATAAAAGACATTTGTGTTACAGAGGTCACTATCAAGAAAGGAAAAAGAGGGGATGCCTGGGTGGCCCAGTCAGTTGGGTGTCTGCCTTCAGCTC